TTCTTTCTTTCTTTCTTTCTTTCTTTCTTTCTTTCTTTCTTTCTTTCCTTCCTTCCTTCCTTCCTTCCTTCCTTCCTTCCTTCCTTCCTTCCTTCCTCCCTCCCTCCCTCCCTCCCTCCCTCCCTCCCTTCCTTCAAATTTTGGACATGTATCTTGAGATGCTTCAGGTAGCAAGACAAAACAAGCTAAGTAGTGAGTGTAGTACTATTAATGTAGTAATAAATGGATATTTTTCTCTGAACTTCTATTTTAAAAGGATTTCTTCTCTCTATTCTTGTATATACTGTAGTATATTGTAGCTTGTTAAGGTTTTTGATTTGTACAGCAAGTTTCTGAGTTTTCCCCTTCCTTCTTTCCTTGAAGCTTAAAAAAATGCTTTCTTATCTCCTGCTACAGACTAACTCAAGATACAGCATTATCTCTTTCCTCTATTTCAAGGTCAGCCACCTGTAGCAGGGAGGATTTGATATATGAGCTAATACTGTTTAATATAAACTTTTAGTAGCTGATAAACAAGAAAAGAAAAAGAAAAACAAAGCAAGGAATGGGCTTAATTAAAAATATGAGTAATTGGAATGGTGAACTAGATAAGCTTCAGAAAACTTCTAAGTAATTAGGTCCAACATAAATCTAATTCCCAGGAAAAGAGGCTCCCCACAGTTTTGGGGAGAATGTTCACTGTCTATTCACTTTGATGACCAGGTACTCTTTGGATGGAAGGAACATGAAATTTCATTCTGTGTTCATATCCCTCATGGCTGCTTTGTTTTTCACGGGTGCTATTTTTCACTTTCACAACCCTTGCTTGTGAATAGCAATAGCACTTAGACTGATATACCGCTTCATAAAGCTTTACAGCCCTCTCTAAGCTGTTTACAGAGTCAGCATATTGCTCACAACAATCTGGGTCCTCATTTTACTAAGAATCAAACTGCTGGCAGTTGGCAGAATTAGCCTGCAATACTGCATTCTAACTAGTGCACCATCACGGCTCTTTTTAACATTTCTTGTTTATATAATATTTTGCAATTGAAAGCTATTATTGTTATATTATAATTTGGTCTCAGTCCAATAATCAGCCCAAGTGTTTAATCAGCATTTTTATCCATCTATCAAGGCCTTCCCAGGGGCTAGGGATAGGCAGATGTTGTTTGATGAGGTTAAAGGTATTGTCACAGAATGTAAGCTCTTCCCAGTATTGCTGCCTTTTGCTATTGACTGATGGTGATATGGTCAATGACAAGGGCGTTCAGGTGGGGTTCCATATGTTTTCAGAATACATTCAAGGTGCCTAGTATTGTTGCTTTCTTTTGCCCATAATCAGTTTACTTCTGTTTGCAGGTCTTCGTGTCTTGTAATTTTCTCCAGTTTTTTTTCCTCTTCTGCCCTGCTATCTCCTGATATTGCAGTGTCCACACCCAGAAATTTTTGGACCATCTTTTCAACAGTTTTTAAGTCTGGGGTGTTGCATGGCAGATGATGATGATTTGCTTTGCTTGGTTTGATAAACTGTTTTGGTCCTTACTTCGTATGCATGAACATTGCTTTCCAACCTACAAAACTACTACCAAACTTCACTGTGCGCTCCTGACCTGTCACTCAAGATCTGGCTATGCCAGCAAGCCTGGAATTGGAACAGTGTTGGGATTCAAAAACTTTTACTACCAGTTCTGTGGGCGTGGTTTGGTGGGCGTGGCATGGCATGGCTTGGTGGACATGACAGGGGAAGGATACTGTAAAATTCCCATTCCCTCCCCACCCCACCAGTGGTGGGATTCAAATTTTTTTACTACTGGTTCTGTGGGCGTAGCTTGGTAGGCATGGCAGGGGAAGGATACTGTAAAATCTCCAGACAGGGGTGGTATTTGCTGGATCTCTGAACTACTCAAAATTTCCACTACCGGTGCTCCAGAACTGGTCAGAACCTGCTGAATACCACCTCTGCACCCCACTAACCTGCTTTCCAGCTCTGTTCATTTGTTTATTTGTTTGTTTGTTTGTTTATTTTGTCAAGTGATTATAAGATTACAGGTATAAGTTTATACAAAGTTATGAGTACATGAAATGGATACATATAAGAAAAATATAAAGAAACAATAGGACAGGGATGGTAGGCACGTTGGTGCGCTTATGCACGCCCCCTAGAGACCTCTTAGGAAAGGGGTGAGGTCAATAGTAGACAGTCTAAGGTTAAAGTTTTTGGGGATTGGGGAAGAAACCACAGAGTGAGGTAGAGAATTCCAGACATTGACCACTCTGTTGCTGAAGTCGTATTTCCTGCAATCAAGTTTGGTGCAGTTTACTTTGAGTTTGTATCTATTGTGTGCTCTTGTATTGTTATGGTTGAAGCTGAAATATTCATTGACAGGTAGGACATTGCAATATATAATTTTATATACTATACTTAGATCAGACCGAAGACAGCATAGTTCTAGATTTTCTAGGTCTAGAATTTCAAGTCTGATGGCATAAGGTATTCTGCAACAAGTAAAGGAGTGGACAAAAACTCTTCTTGTGAAATATTTCTGGACTTTCTCAACTGTATTAATATCAGATATGTAATGCAGGTTCCACACTGATGAGCTGTATTCAAGTATTGGTCTAGCAAATGTTTTGTATGCCCTATTAGTAGTGTGATATTACCAGAGAAAAAGTTACATAGGATTAGGTTAACAACTCTTAATGCCTTTTTGACTATGTAGTTAGTGGGCTCTAGCACTTAGATCATTTGAGATGAATACTCCAAGATCCTTGACAGAGTTTGGATCATCAACAAGGTCTTGACTATTCAGCTTGTATTTTATTTTCTGATTTTTTTGCCAATATGTAAGACAGAGCATTTATTTGTTGAGATTTGAAGTTGCCATTTGTTTGACCATTCTGATATATAGTCAAGATCTTTTTGAAGGGTAGCAGTATTGTCTGTGGTATTGAACAGCTTTACATCATCAGCGAAGAGAATGCAGTTGCTCTTAATATGATCAGAGAGATCATTTATGTAGAGTATGAAGAGAGTTGGTCCTAGAACACTGCCTTGGGGACACCACTATTGACAGGTGCAGAATTTGATAGGACACTCCCAATTTTGACCATTTGTTGTCTGTTTAACAGGAATGCTTCTATCCAGTTATGCAGTTGTCCAGAGATACCACAAGATTTTAGTTTTAGGAGTAGTTTGTCATGTACCACTGAATCAAAGGCTTTACAGAACTCTATGTAGATTGCGTCTATTGTTTTGCCCTGATCAAGTTGTGTAGTATATATGTTTTTGCAGTGTAAGAGTTGCAGATTACATGATAGTTTTTTTTCTGAAACCAAATTGTTTATTGGAGAGTAGGTTGTTTGTCTCTAAGTGGAGAATAATGGATTGGTTAATAATTGATTCCATGACTTTACAGGTGACACAGCATAAGGAGATTGGTCTGTATTTTTCAACTAGGCTCTGGTCTCCCTTTTTGAAGATGGGGATGACCATGGCTTGTTGCCATAGGTTAAGCAAGGAGCTGGTCCTGAAAGATTTTTCAAAGATTATGCTTAGAGGTTCGACTATGGCTTGCTTTTTTAAGAAGTAGGCACATATTCCATCCGGTCCAATAGATTACGTAGTGCTTTTTCAACATTGTCTTCTGTAAAATCGATATGTATTAGATCATTGTAGTTTTCTGTGGTTTGGCTAGGAAATACTGGGCATGATCCATTGCTGTTTACAAATACTGAGCCAAAGAATGTGTTAAAGAGGTTGGCTTGAATAGTGTTGTCGTTGCAGTCTTTACCATCAGGTCCTTTCAGGGATGGGATGGACCTTGAGTCTTTTAGTTTGTTGCTTACAAAATTGTAGAAAGCGCGGGTGGAATTGTTGCGTAGAAGGTTTTCTTCTTGTTTAATGTGATAATTGGTGCATTTAGTCTTTATCTGGTGGCATAAATTTTTGTATCGGCTTTTAAAGTTGGCAACGTGACCAGATTTGTTTTTCCACCAGAGTGATCTCTTTTTGGATTGAAGTTTCCTTATTGTTATGGGTAATCTGTTTTTTTGTTTTGTTTTGGGAGTTGTTGTTGATACATATAGTTTGATGACTCTTTTGACTTCAAGAAAAAATATGTTGTAAACCATATGCAGTAAAGCATATGAAATGGTATACAAATCTGTTTTTTCCCCCTCAAAATTTTACGTTGCTCTATAAAGCTACATTACATAATCAGGATGATCAGATAATGGGCATATGCGTGTAAGTTGCCCTACCATTCTATCATTTATATCAGTTATGTCCTATTCTGATAATTTGTCTTAATAATGTTAATATTAATATTAATATTAATTAATATTAATGTTAATGTTAATAATATTTAGCACTAAAGATAGTCCTTAATAATGAGTTCTTTCTTCCATCAGGCATACACCAGTGTCACTAAGGCTCCATTACAACTGCGGGAGAATCATGATCTTGCCAAGTTGATGAACCTCATTGTCTTTCATACTAAGATGCTAGACTCTCTGGAAGAGCTCATAGTGGAGACATCCGATCTCTCCTTCTTTGGGTATGTATGTAGGATAGCAGGCGACAATGCTGACCCGTACAACAGACTATATATATATATATATGTATGTATGTATGTATGTATGTATGTGTATATATATATATATATATA